TGACAGACAGCAGAAGAAACTGTTTTGTTGACTTCAGTAGTGAGGGATACAGCAGTAGAAGAACACACTGGGCTGTTCGTAGAACCAGTACATCGCCAAGGTTCACCTCTCGCTGCTCCTCCAAAGAACAAACCTTTGACTCACTATAAGGTATTTTATTTCCTACTCTGTGGTTGGGAACCACTACCCGACAAGGAGAATGGAGACGAGTCCCATTCCGGTGGTGACAGTCCAAACTGCGCCCTTCGATGACCAGCGCCCCGGAACCAGTGGGTTGCGGCGGAAGACAGTGGTGTTTGAAGGCAGAAAGAATTACCTGCAGAACTACATCCAGAGTCTTCTGTCCTCCATCGACCTGAGGGATCGGCAGGGCTGCACCATGGTGGTGGGCAGCGACGGCCGCTACTTCAGCCGAACTGTTATCGAGGTGATAGTGCAGATGGCAGCTGCCAGTGGGGTAAGAAGGGAAGGGATGGTGCAAAACCTAAGATTACAAATCTATTTGTGCACACTGTCGAAGAGTGGTTAGTAGTCTTGTCTTACTTAAAGATGGTCACTAGTTCGATTCTTGATGGTAAATAATGATTTGTCTGTCTCTTTAGTGAAGTATTTGTTATATCCCATTGTGTTTGCTCTGTAAAATACTTTTTTGTTTATTCATAGCTAGGCAAACTGACCAAACTTGGTATTAAAAGTTTGACTAATGCTGCTGTAGCCCCAAGGTTTTCACCAAGATGATGCAGACAAGAAATGAAAAGAGTTTTATCTAATACAGTGGTTCTCAAACTTTTTCTACTGTGTACCACCTGAGAAAACATTGAGCTCTCTGAGTACCACCATGATGACCAACATTACAATTCCCCTGCTTGTTCCATGTTCAACTTGCAAGTGATCCCATGATTCCATGCTGCCTGTACTTAAAATAAATAAATAAAAAGACCAGACATGCTATTTCATAATTTCACAAGTAGCTACACATTTTTTCTAAATATTGTATTAATTGTGCCTGGTATGTTTCAGGTTTATTCAATTGAAAATGTAAATTAAATGAAAATATTATCTTTCCCCACATACCACTAGAGAGCACTAGCGTACCACTTGTGGTACACGTACCACAGTTTGAGAATGCCCTTATCCTGTTCCATCTTTGCCGGAGCAAACAACCTGCTCTGGGGATCCCTCGTTAGCAGATTTATTTTTTCACTAGCCAAATATATAAATATATTAATATCTTTCACTTGTAGTCTCATTCAATAGATGTTTCAACGCAGTGGCTCCCAAACTGTGAGTGCAGCACCCCCTTTTGCAGATTGGGACTATTTTTGAATGTCACTCATTCACAGCTGTAGCTTCAAAACTTCATTGAACGTTATTTAAAACACTATGAATCCCACAAACCTGTTATTCTAAAAAAAAAGAAAAGAAAAAAAGAAATAAGAATCCCACTTTGCCCACCCCCCACTTTGGGACTTATTGCTGTAAGGGATGTCACAAAATATACACTAATGTGAGAAACTGCAAATTCTTTTGCTGCTAAAACACTCTTAGTTGTATGTTAGATATGCAGAAGGTGTTATGCTGCTAGTGGTACTACAGTAGTATGTACTATGAAAGATTAGTTTAGAATGTGGATCTGGACTTTAGGTGCCATCTGGGGGCTGGTAATCTGGGCCCAAGAGGAGATCTGTTGTTAATCTTGTTTAGAGCACTACCATTTGGTCTCTAAAGCAGTAGGGCTTAGTTTGATCTAAATTAAAATCTATAAGACAAATGTTATTTATGTCACAACCACTATATGAAAAGTCACTGTTAAAAACAACAACGTTTTGCCTCAGGAGGCATTATTAAAACATGTGTGTAATCATTACATAACATTAAATAATGAGTCTTGATTAAATACTACTCTGTTCATCCTTGTGTTTTCGGCTTAATGTAAAGTAAAAGCTTTCAGGCAATGTAAACTCTGTAAACTAGTCATGACAATTAAAATGATTAAGATGGTTCTGCCATCTTACATGTAAATAAACACAGTGCGGTATCAACCACACCACCT